AATAATTTTTACGTTAAGAAATATATTTATTTTATTCGTGTCTTTTTATTGCATTAATGTGTATTAAGTGGTTTTGTAAACAGTTTGATATTGATAATGTTTTACTTATTTTTATGATATTCTATAGCAATATGATCACTTCAAATCAAATACCAAATGTTCAGATTCGGTTTGTTAAGGTGAATCACAGGGCTTGAGTAAAGGACTAGCTGATGCAGACGCCTCGTTAACTAAACATGCACATATTTACGTTTGGAGCACATGTGGCCCTTGGAGCTTGGCTTATATTAACTTTTGTTTACTTTCTCCCTTCCTAGCACATTACCTTCCCACCTCTCGTGGATTCTCACAACTAATTTTTAACAAGAATGTCGAACACCTCCATTTTGAAGTGCCTAATAGATACATTTTACACAGCCTGCTGAGGAATTTGAAAACGTTCATTTTAACTTTCTTTAGTCGGACAATCATATTTTAACTTTGGATTTAAGTTTTTTAGCAATAAAATGTAGTTATGACTTTTTTATTCAAACTTAAAGAAAGCTTGCATCCAAATAGTGTAATGCTACTTGTTTCTTAAGTTTCTGGGCTATTTCAATGAACAAAATACAATTACTGGTTATTTATATTTTACTTTCCTTTTTATTTTTAATCTAGATCAAGTATTTCTCTATTTGTCTGTCTCTGTCTTTCCACAATTTGACGCTAGAACACGTGCATTTTGTCAAAACTACATTTACGAGTTCGATGAAGAAAATTTAAAAAATTTGTGAAGAAATTTTTTTTATTTTATATAAAACAATCAGTGATAGGCGAGTTTGAAAGAAAGCAAAACCTGAGTTTCTTAAATGGAATACGTTCCCTTTTAATCTTTAATTTTAATTTTATTCTCCAGATTATTTTGATACATCTGCGCATTTTGTCTTTATTTTCTTTATATAGAGAGAGAGAATATAAAATCTGTTGGCATCATTTTCCAGTTGTGAATTCGCCTTTCACAAAAACATATTCCATTTGTATTATAATGTAAAAATAATAACTATTCACATGACATGTTCCCATCTAATTTTATCGGCCGTGTGAGAAATTGTTTTGAAGTGCTTCTTCAAAGCTGACTTCAATCGGGCTTTGTGAAGCCTGTGAGCTTTTTCTATTTGACATTGAAGCCTTTCGTCTCATCTAATCTTACATTTTGGGTATCTTATGTCTAAATTACATGACTAACTCGTGTTAACAATATTCTTTAAGTTAACCCTCCCACATTAGAAATGACGGGGGGCGTCGATATCTTAAAATTATCTCGAGTGGCTATTGATCGCTATCGAGGGTCGAACAGAAATTATACGGTCTTTGTATAAACGTAAATTTTTTTAAAGGGGTGTTATTGTCGTCTGAGCCGGGAAGGAAACGTTTGATTTTAAAAGAGTAGGCTTTATTTCTTCCTTTGTGGCCATGTTCGGAATGATAAATGTCCCACCATTCGATCTTTTATTGCCATATTTCCCTGCCTCAAAAGACAATAATGTGTTCCGCCATTCAATAACGTCTGAATCCTTTAGCAAAACGCATCCTTAAGAAAGATGCTATCAAATTTTGTAGGGTTCATCTTAGGTTTACACACAGATGTCCATGTAACTAGCCTATAGATAATTGAAATAATATTTTAAAAAATTAATGTTATATAAATGTTCTTAAACGTGGATTTAATGGATANTTTTCGATGTAAGATACTAATTTTTTTAAAAATAACGTTTATTCAATATAAACTATAACTTTACACAAGGATTCTATTTTAAAGTGTCTATACAGTTCGCAGTCCCCAGTGGATCTGACAAAGAGGGGTCTTAATGCTTACAATACATTCTCTGAATTTGTATAGGGGTAATATCGTTTGTCTTGTATGTATATACATATATACATATTTATTTTTTTCTTTTGTGCATCGCTCTGTACATGAGGCTTTAGCTGTTTTGTAGGTCCAAACTCGTTGCAGTTGAGTTATGAATAAATTATTTTATTCAGCAAAAACGTGTGATGTCGTCGTAGTTCTTTCGGTAAGGATTATCGTTTACTAAAGGTGTTAGCAAAAGCGATTTTGGCAGACAGGTCGTTCTCTCCTTACTATCTGTAAAATGGCTAATATGAAATTTTAAACATGATTTGGTTAAAATAAAATGAAAATTGCTTATTAGATTTGATTAAATAAAATTTTACATAAAATGCTAAATTAACTAAAATTTACAAACTTTTATAATTTTTTGGAATGCGGAATTATATATTAAATTTGATTAAACAATTTTTTTTTTTACAAAATTTACAAACTTGGATAATCTTTAAACTAGAATAAAAGACGCACATAGGACATTGGATAAGGAATGTTTTCTTTTGTAGAAAGAGAATAACAGAATTTTTATTTCATATTTGTTATATGACATCCCTTAAGTCAGGCTGGTTGGTGAGTCTGGTGGTTCTTCTTTGTCCGCTTCCCGAGTACTGTGAAGGTAGAGGTCAATGGCCGATTGTTGTTGATCCTTGTTTGGAGCTGTGTTGACATTAAATGGTTGATGTGGAAGAATATGTCAACAACATGCATAAAATTGGCAAAATTTACTGAGATAGACGTCATCAGGAATAAGACCGCCTGGTATGCTCAATGGCGTACGCTCTTTCAGAGATTTGAAGTAACCTGTCCCATCTTGCTAATTGGCCAGGTCTTTTTTAGATCTGCTACCTAGATTCAAGGAACGGCATAGGGACGATTGCTTACTCCGAGCTCAGTCCTCGCTTAACTTTTCTTTATTCAAAGACTTGTCTCACCCTCACACCTTATTTAATCTACAGAGAGAGAACCTTAATTCCCTTAGTCTTTCAAACTTAAGATGGTTACTAAAAACCCGTTGCGAGGCCGTTGACTTGAACTCTGCACTTTGGTTGAGGGGCAGGGAGAGGTTATGTGCCCTTTGCAATTAATTCTCAATCTATGGAAACAACACTGCATTTTATAGCCGAATGTATAATATTGGGCGAGATAAGGTTGTTGCACTTGGGATCTTTTACCCTCTCTAGAAGCACTCTGTTAAATCTGTTGGATGGCCAGATCCACGGGCGCTCACGCAGTTCGTCCGCCACGCCTGGAAATATAGATTAGACCTAATTATGGAATTCAATTTCTGACTCCTCCAATTCATTCACTCAATTTCCTTTATATAATTTACTTTATTATATCCGATTATTTGTCTCTTTACCATTAAGACTTTTCCCTTCTGTTTTTATATTAGAAGTAGTTTTACTATTATGTTTAACCTTTATGATGGTGTGCTAGCATGTTGCGAATAATGTTATAACCTCGCTTTAATTCTTATATCTTTTTTTTCTTATTTTATTTTTTCTTCTTTTTCTCTCAACAACGACCTCCGGCAGACGGATTGTGATCCATGCCTGTACTATGTTTTGCTAATAATCATTGATATATTCGTAGAAATAAAAAGCATATATAAATAAAAAATAATAATAATAAATATGTCAACAACTCTGGCCTCTGCTGTACTTGACCTTAATCTTGAGAACTGTCAGTGATAGGCGAGGAGTATGCAAATGGCTTTAAATATACAATTTTTTTAGGATTGAATTGATTATAATTGGGAAACGTAGGGATTTTCCAAATTTTGCAGCAGGTAAGACACATTTGAGGGTTTTTTGATTCTGTAGGGTCCGTTATATTTGTATGCTTGCTTTGCTGCGAATTATTTGTTGGAGGCGTCAGATGTGCATGGGCGTAATGCAAACTTACAGAAAATCGGAGTTTGGATTTGCGTCGGGTAGCATCGGGTAGATGTGCACGGGGGTAATGCAACCTTATGGAAAATCGGAGTTTGGATTTGCGTCGGGTAGCATCGGGTAGCGTCGCATGGCGTAGCATCGGGTGTGTTCCCGGCTTAAGGCAATTCGGAAAGGTGAAAACGCTCGATACTTGTGTTCCTCATACATTAAACGACCTCCAAAAAACCATTGTTATTAGGTTTGCGTAGCACTTCTTTGTTAAAACAGAAACGAACCTTTTATGGATAGAATTTCCACTTGTGGTAAAAAGTGAATTGCATACATAACAGCCGACTCTCTGGCTGGTGGCTCGATAAAGGAGATGCAGCACCAAACTTTCCAATGCCCCCCGCTTGTTAAAAAAGTTGGTGTCTCTTTGGTGGGCTTCATTAGGGAAGATTTATTACAGCTTCTTGAATCCTGGCGAAATAATCAATGCCGAAATGTATGCTCTCGATTTGAAGCAATGAATCAGAAAGTTGCATTAGTGAAGCCATCTTAGGTCAAACGAAATGGTCGATTCTGTTCCACGACAACGCTCGGCCCCATGTAATATGGAAAACTGTTGGATATTCGTTATGAGGTTCTGCCTCATCCTCCTTATTCTCCAGACCTCTCTCCTACCGACTACCTTTTTTCAGACACCTTGACAACGTTGTACAATACAAAAAATTTATTGATCAAAAGTCGCTTGAAAATGCGTTTACAGCATTTGTTATGGTAAGGCTCAAAATTATATTCAAGAATACGGAGAAGTTACCATCACGTTGAAGAAAGTGTATTGGGAGTGATGGAGGGTATTTTAATTAATAAAAACATGTTTAAAAGCATTTATTTAATTGTTTTTATTTTGTAATCATAAACTTGCATTATTTTCCGGACAACCCAATATAATAATCTCGATTAATCAAAACAGGTCCGCCTGTTTTTGTTGGAGTTGTATTACTGTTTTGTGTAACGTTAATAATTAATAATAATTATTAATAATTAATTAATAATTAATAATAATAACGTTGTATTATTGTTTACATAAAAAAAACGTTAAAAGAAACATAAATATTGGACAAAGCATGTGGGAAAGCGTAAAAGGCCGAAAATGCAATTATTGTATTAGTAACAGTTTTTTCAGAAATGATGTCACCAATATGTAGGCCCTATTTATACAAAAGTTGGCCCTAGCCGTATCTCTGTTTATTTGCTGCCTGTTCTGACAGCCCTCCTTCATGCACAAAAAGTTGACAGATTTCAAGCCGGAGCCCATCGTATTGACTCGTAACACTTCAACAGCCAGACATGAACATTATCAAACTCTAGAAGTAAGCCAGCAGTGTATTCCGACAATTGGTCACGATTTCATCAAGTTATACCCACGACATTCACGCCAACTTTCACTACCTCTTTAACTATACACTAATTGCTAAGGTGACAATTAGTATAGCATTTATAAGTCTTCCAAAAGTTTAAAAAGAAGACTATTATATAGAATGCAATCAAATAGTCCTTCTTTATTTTATTTGTGGATATAGACGCATGGAAAGAAGAACTATTTTCTAAATGTAACCTTAACAACAATAAATTCGGTTCAAACTTGAACGAAAATCGTGTTTTTAGAAGAAATAGAACTTTATAGATTGTTCTCATCTTGTGTTTCTTTATGTAAATTGAGAATGAATGTTTTTATTAGTGTGAATGGGACAAATGTTGAATATTGAGTACTCAATAGACTTTCAACTGGATTAGTTAGATATAGATAGTACGTGTTAATAGTGTTAGAGGAATATTGAGTACTCCACCACCCTAATTGAGTGAATGGCGAGTAAATAGGACAGAATGTATTTAAGAGTGATTGAGATATGGTTCAATTTAAAAATTAACACATTTGGGGCTGAAATGACCTAGCTATTGACAGACCTTGGAGCATAACTTACGAGGAGAAAAAAAAATATTAGAAAAATCCTAAGAAAAGTCAAAACCAACTGACTAGACAAAAATAAAATGCATTATATGACTTAATTGCATTTGCAGGACGACACCAAAGGAAAATCTAACTAAATGACTCACCTCACAGAAAACCATTATAAACTCTCAACCATGAAACGAATCTCTGACGACCAAATTGGAAGAAACAGAAATCACTTAGACTTGTCGCTGGCAAAATGCTGAAATGTCTCAGACAGACCAAACCAATGAGGATAGGCAGACCAAAATTATCAATAAATATAACAATTAACAATAAAAAGTACAATAGTAATAATTGCAGATTGTTATCAGAGTATTAGGGTAGTATTTTTAAAAAGTAGTGCTATTATTCTAAGCAATTGTATTATGGTTACTGAAATGAAACTTTTCCCCCACTAGGGAACAGGTCCTCTATTGTACATAATAAATAACTTTTGTGTTAATTATTGGTGTGTGTGTGTGTGTGTTTTTTGTGTGTACCTAATGGCAGGATATTGAGTACTCCATCAACATTGAAATTCATTTAAGAATGAGTGAAATTGAGTGTGTCTAGGTGTTGTAAACTGCATGTGTTGGGTTGAAATGACCTCTATAGCCATAGTCTTCCTTTGGTTGGCAGGACGGACAAGACTGAGGTCTCACCCCCAACTGCCAACAACTCTGAACTAGGTGATTCTCATTGCTGGCGGTGGGAAACATAATTCTAATATCTATAACACAGAAGTTTGTACTATTTATTGAAATGTATTTTCAGGATATTGCCATTCTTGACAATGCTTGAAACGAATTAAAGATGTTTGCACCAAGTACTACATAGGTCTTTATCAAAATGCATCTTCTGAAAATAAGTCATTTAAGTACCCACTAGCACCACAGTATTCAGTGTTTTATTATAACATGTATGTGATCACTAGCTAAAATGCTACAAAGGCAAAATTAATACATATTACAACAATTTTAGGCATGACAATCTTTCCATGTAACCTGTCTACAGCAGGGTCATCTCCATGGTTGTTTAACCTTTGTATATTAGGAGGAGAATCTAAAACTGGCATAAAAAACAGCAAAGAGCAATTATCAACAATGCAAGGAGGATATACCCTGAATTAGTATATGACCAGGCAATAGTGGTAATAATCAATTTTGTTTTATCATATAAAGAGAGCAGCTTGTATATTTCATTAAATACTGTTTAATCTGACAAGTAAAAGAAATCTAGGAATCATTAATAAAATTATTTTTTATTATTTTTCAGGAATCCTGTTGTACAGTTTAACTCACTAATTGATATACTTTGTTTTAGGTGCTTCCAAATACAAAAAAATTGATGATGGTTTGTCATCCGTTTGACTGTTTACTCTCTGCATACCGAGACAAGTTAAAGAATGTAAACATTGGGAGGGAACATGGTACGCATCACTTTTACAGCAAGTATGGAGCAAAAATTGTACAGTACAGAAAAGTGGGGATAAAATGATAACCATTTTAATACCGGTGTCATATTACTTAAACCCAAAACACCCTAAACCAACAGGAATAGAGCTAACATTTGAGAAGTTTGTAAGGTATTAAATAACATAAAAAAAGGCATATAATGTAAAATCTAAGTACCAATGTTAATTAAAGTTACAGCATTTATGTGTTTCTAAATTTTCTTCTGTCAATACACTCTTCTCTGTAGCTCGTGATTCTTATTTGACTAACTATACCAACAATATCTTAAACTTCACCAATTCTTCCAATAACCCTGATTTCAGTTCGAAAACTTTAAGAACATGAAACATATCGAAAAATGTAATCTCCAATTGATTAGAGAAAAATGTTTTTATATTTAATCATCACATTACTTTTAGTTTTAATTATAATTAATATTCACATGATTTGTAAGTTTTTTATTATCTAAAGAAAAGTTAATTGGAAATTAAAAAGGGTTAATTTGAAATTAAAAACCTTTAATTTGAAGATAAAAAGGGTTAATTTAACGGAAAAAGCCATATGAAATACAATAGCAATCAGCACGTGTTAAACTGATCAACATGTATTTACTGTAGCATGTACAGAATCTTTACTAAAAATAGTTTATTGTTACAGGTATTTAATCAATACTGATTTACTGAATTATGCTGATGATCATTGGATTCCATACAACATGTTTAGCACTCGTTGAGTACAATTATATTAATAAGGTTGAGACGATGTACCGGGACCAAATGTTTGTAATAAAGGATGCTCAGTTAGGCGATAAAATCAAGCCATCCTGGATCCACAAGACGTCTCCTTTGGAAGTTTCCAAAGAACATATTACAAAATTGTATTTCTCACAGCTGATCAGAAAACAAATAAAAGAACTGTACAAGAAGTACAAATTAGATTTTGAAATGTTTGATTATTCACCGGATAAATATTATTTATATGCAGTCATAATTAGTATGGTAATTGCCCTGTAATTTTTTTTATTGTCCCTGTACCTGATCTAAAAATAAAATTTAAACAAAACAATTAGAGTTTTATTCTCAATGAATCATAGGAGCACATACTAACAAAAAAGAGTTTCAAATATAATTTATTAAATACAATGTAATATATAAATACAATAAATATAATATAATATAAAAAATAGAATGTTTGATAGATTATCTGTGTTAGCAAATAACGTGAGATACACAATCCTGCCAGCACATGCCACTACAGGTATTGAAAAATATTGTTTCATTTTATATACTTAGTAACACATGAAACATAAGGCATGTCAGATCACAATATACGCTTTTTATAAATAATCTTTTAACTTTACAAATTTTACTTTAGTTATAACATTACATTCAATACATTTACATTTTAATAATGTTATAATTGCTACTCTATCTCAATCAGGTATATGAGAAAAATGTATGAACATTAGACCACATCATACTCAATATTGTCCTAAATAATTTTTTAATTTCTGGAATGTATATAATATATTTATTTGGTAGATTAGTGACCGTTAATCGATAGTTATTCAGATATCGTGAGATGCGGTCGGGTGTGATGTAGGTTTCAGAAAAACATTTTCTTTATCGTGCCAACGTTTCGATCTTTTATTGAGATCATCTTCAGGGCCTCAACACTCTTAACACGACACGCAAGTATGNTTCAGAAAAACATTTTCTTTATCGTGCCAACGTTTCGATCTTTTATTGAGATCATCTTCAGGGCTCAAAGTGTTTGTCTTCTATGTAATTGTGCCATCCCAAGAGGGGCACTCTCAATACGACACGCAAGGATCGACACATCACACCTGACCGCATCTCACGATATCTGAATAACTATTTATTTGGTAAGTTATGATAAAATATAAAATGGAAAATGTGATGAAAATACATTTCCTAGAAAGCGTAAAAATAAATCTAGTCCAGGCAAAGAAAAAACAGCAAAAATATGTTAGTTTTTGAACTGAAATAATATAATCATACATAAGTTAGTATAAAAATCAGGCCTGCTTGTTGGTTTTTTACAAAGTATTTATGATACATAAAAATATTATTCTAATGCCATATATTTTCAAGGGCAGGTAATTTTTTTATTTTTTTTTTTTTCCAATGATACCTGGTCTTTGACACATTTATGACTGTTTCATTTTGTTGCCTTTTCAACTAACAGAGAGGGAGAGAGCAGGAGAGAAGAATTTTCCTTTAAATACAAAGTACAAAAATAAGTTACAAACATAAATTTGAGATTGAAAGAGAGATTATTCTGATATAAATAAAAAATATATAATTATTTGTTTCTGTAAAATAAATAAGGATAAAAATTTAATTAATTTTAAAAATACACAAATAAATAGGAAATAGAAATGAGATTTTCTTCTTTTTGATACAATTTTACACTGATGAGTATGCAAGGCATAGTGTAATTAATTTTTTATTACTACATACCTCAAATACTTTATACCTTATTGTTTGATTGACAGAACATCAAAAATTCTTTGAAAAATAATTTATAATACTTTCTGAGTTTCAGTTCATATACTTGGTGGTACTATAAGCTAATTATAATCCAAAATACTGAAGTATATCAAAATATAAATATTTATTTTTTGGCGCTATTATCACTGCATTATATTGAAATATGTTTGCTAAAGATAAAAAGACTAGAGATTAGTGAGACACAATGATGGAGAACTTCAAATCTAACTTTCAGTTAGTACAATGTTTAATACTATTTATCTATCATTTTCATTTGACTTAAAAGTTTATTGTTTAAATATATAAAACATTATTAATTGTATAAAAATACTGAACTATTTAAACCTCTCCTCGGATATTTTTGACTTATTATAAATTAAGTATTGTGCAGTAAAGTTGTCCTTTGATTTAATATTAAAACAATAATAGTGATTACAGAATGATATATTGACAGTTAAAACACATTTTACTTTTATTTCCCATCCTTCACATGTCCTTCAGTACAATCGGACTTATTTTTAAAGCATTGTTGATAAAAGTAAATTTATTTTTGTCATGACCATCACAAGAGTATATTTTTTGTTTTTTTGTTTTTTCACAAACTTGAAAGAAACCCTGTTGACACAGATTGAAACTTGATTGTAATTATCCTAGCATAGCATTTATGTCAGAAGCAATTTGGCTGATCATTAATAAAGTTGGTGAAATCCAACATTTTTCTGACAGACAAAATCAACAAACCAGGATGATTCGCAACTATCTAGTTTCAACATGTAGACTGTTTTTCACAATGAAACAATGTTGCTGTACAATATAATAGAAAATGACAAATAGGAAGTTTTAATAATTTTTAAATGAGGACAATATTTTATCCTATGAAAGACAATAAAAGCTATGAACTATCATCTTGTGAGGTCTCGAAGTTTATCATGTATGATACACAGTCATAGGAAAAATAAATAAGATGATATGAATATATAAAATAACCAAGGAGAAATTTTCTCTGTCAGTGTACAGCTATTTGAGTGCCAATGTAGAAAATACAAATTAATTGTTCTCTAATATATTTTTGAGCAGCACTGTCATCATGATACTTCACTGAATTCCTGACTAGTGAATATGTCCAGCGACATAATTCATCATATCACACTTAAATGCTAACATTTGCTAATACATGTCTAAATAACTGTAACAATAGTATAACATTCATATCCAACACCATTCTTATTTATCTATTCATCTACCAATAATTGCTCAGCAATCTAGTCTATGAAATACTCATCTAAATACTTACAGTCATCATTGTTGAACTGAAAGTCAGTTCATCTCACAACCTGAATAATAATGAATATTTGCTGGCGATTGTTTTCATAGTGCTCTCCTGTTAAAATGGGTCTGATTAAACTTTAAGGTCTTGAGTAATTGGTGTAAGATAGTGACGTAAGTATTTGTACACCATAGGCCATATTTCATCAGAAGTGTTACCAGAGAACTCTTCCAGTATACCTTCTTCTCTGTAAAAGTCTAAGAGAGGTCCGAATGTCTTGGCATAAATTTCAAGGCGTTTCTGTACAGAGACCGGATTGTCGTCATCTCTCTGTTGCAGTTTCTCACTAGTGATATCATCCACCCCAGGGGTTTTCGGAGGATTGAAATCTGTGTTGTACACCCGACCGCTAGGCAGGTGGACCCAGCGCTTTTCAATTCTGTCGATGATTACATCAAACGGTACTATCAAGTTGATAGCTGCATCGATGGGAGACTTCATCAACAAGGTCTGCGCCTGGGGTTTCGTTCTGGGGAAACCGTCTAGGAGCCAGCTCGTGTCCTGACTCTTGTCTATTTCTTCTAGGACAAGTTCGATCACAACCTCGTCCGGCACCAGTTGGCCCTTATCCATGTACTTTTTGACCTCCAGGCCCAAAGGGGTTTTATTGATTATATTATTTCTAAGCAGATCACCGCTCGATATGTGTTTCATTTCAAATTTACGGACGATCCTTGACGAGATGGTACCTTTTCCTGAGCCGGGCGCTCCGAGAATGACAGCACGAAAATTTCTCAGCATTTTCCTAGAAAACAATCTGCCAGCAAATACTTGACTGTTGGGACCTTCACCGTTGGAAGGAGGCTCACGACTGACGAGTGACGACCGAAGACGGAACCGATGTTTTTACTTGGGGTATTCAGTCCTTGAAACCTTATCAGCTGTCCTACAGCTGGAAGGTGAAGTTTCATCACCATCCCTACTACTTCGCCTACGGGATTTAAATAGGGAAATGAAAACACTAAGTCAAAATGGCACATCATGTCCTCAGGACACTAGATCAACTTTGGGTAGTGGGAATTGTTGTTGTGTCAGTTGCTATGACGACCCTATCAACAATTCCAACAATGTTTTGTTTCGTCATCACAACATAATGCCATATATATCACAAAATTTATATTATATGATATATCGTATTGTACCGTATTATATCATATTATACCGTACTGTACGGTATTATATCGTATTATACCGTATTGTACCGTATCCGTATTATACTGGATTGTACAGTAGTGTACCGTATTGTACGTATTTTACTGTATTATAAGTGTGGTATCGATTTAGTAAAAAATAGTCTTCAAAGTCTAAAGTTGCATTAAAGAAGAAACCAGCTACGACTAGCAGTGGAAGATACAACAGAATGTCTATACAATTTTACAACTGAACTTGAAGTATTTTCTTACCATTTGTTTTGTTTTTATTTGTTTAGTTCTTTAACTTTAATAGTCAAATTATATTTTTACTTTTTGTTTAACTAAAATTTTCTTTATATATAATTTTTTTAAAAATGAAAGGAGGAGTATTGTGGTATCGATTTAGTAATTGTGGTATCGATTTATACCAACAAAAACATTAAAAAACATCGATCTACAACCTTTCCCCCAGGTTTTTTGCCTAGTTCAATTTATGTAGTAGTGTGTGGTGATTAGTGACCGTTAATCGATAATGAGATGCGATAAATCGTGAGATGCGGCCTGGTGTGATGTAGGTTTAAGAAAAACATTTTCATTATCGTGCCAACGTTTCGATCTTTATTGAGATCATCTTCGGGGCCTGGGATTTACAAACATTGTTTACATATAACAATTACATTTTCGATGTGGAAAAGTGAATTTATACAATGCAAAATATATTTTTTTATATATTCAATCAAAGTATTTCTACTCACTCAGTGTTTGTCTTCTGTGTAATTGTGCCATTCTTGCGTGTCGTGTCGAGAGTGCCAGTGAGATTTATGTAGTAGATTGTATGGTCAATAAGGTGCGTTAAAAGTAAACTATCCCATTCTAGTGAGAACCTTCACCTACGTATTGTACCGTATCCGTATTACAGCCTATTGTACTGTAATGTACCGAATTGTATCGTACTATACGTATTGTACCGTATCCATATTATACCCTATTGTACGGTAGTGTAACGTACTTTACCGTATTATAACGTATCATGTTATGTTTGTTATGTTTATGTTTATGTTTTGTTATGTATTAATGCTTAATCGTATTGTATCCTATTATACTGTATTATTTCTATCATGTTATGTTATGCTATGCTATGTTATGTAATTATGTCATGTTCTGTTATTATATATTATGTATATATAATATAATTATGCTATATATTATATTGTTATATTAAATTGGGTTATTGAAAGGCTATGCAATATTTGCAGAGGTGTTTCATTTTTCAACGCAAATTTTAAAAAAAGAGACCTGTTACATTATTTTTAGTTTATTTATTTGTATAATTAATAGGCCATCGGTGATCTAGTAGATATCTATATTTATTTTCTTTATAATTGGGGACAAAAATTTTCACGGCCCTACTCATTGGGGTCTACGGAAAGCGGGGGCCCTTTGTCCCCGACAGACATAAACCCGGCAAAGCGTTCCAAAGAGGATGAGGTGTATGTTTCTAATCGGGAGACTTCCCATTTTTATGAGTATATTTTTAATACAAAAGGTAATCCTACGGTTAATCAATCATACTCTAAAGTTCTAATTCTCACTCAAGAGGAGTTAAAATTCGAAAAATCCAAAACTAGGACTCTTGTTAGGCAGTGACTCGGTAGAAACCGATTGCGGGACACAGACCAAGGGCCTTATTTTGTGCTTGTGGAAAGAGAAGGAAAAAAATTTAGGCAACGCTCACGCAATGATGTTTGGGAAATGGCTTTTTAGGGACCTCACTCACGCGTATCAAGCCGAAGATCGTGAGTTCGAATCCCGCTCGTGCCATTGAATTTTTATCTCAACTAAAAACCTTAATTAATTGTAATATATTAATTGGTCAAGCAGACCACGAAATTAGTGAATTTAATGATTAAAAGGTGTATCAAAAGGTGCGGTAGAGATGGGAAGTTTCTGCCCGAGTGGATCGAGGTCACGATAGCTCAAGTGGTAGAGCAGTGGCGTATCAAGCGGAAGATCGTGGGTACTTTTTTTATCTCAACTAAAAACCTTAATTAATTGTAATAAATTAATTGGTCAAGCGGACCACGAAATTAGTGAATTTTTCACATAGTCTAATCGTCCAACAATTTAGCTTTCCTTTTCCTATTTATCCCTTTCTATATAATCCTGAAAGGATAATCTGGCCGAACCATTACCAACACATTGTTTCCCTTCGTCGGCTCTTTTCACCTCAAAGAAGCCAATGCCTTATACAAAAATGTCTTTTATATAAATAAACAACAACATAAAACAGCAAAATCTCACTGGCACTTCAACACGACACGCAAGAATGGCACAATTATTATTCATTCATATCATTAACCAAATTCAATAATGATAACATACCTATATCATTACATTACATTCCGCACATCAAATATTATTCACAAAATCGAATTTCCCAACAATTTAGCTTACCTTTTTCTATTTATCCCTTTCTATATAATCCTGAAAGGATAATCTGGACGAACCATTACCAACACATTTTTTCCCTTCGTCGGCTCTTTTCACCTCAAAGAAGCCGAGGCATTATACAAAAATATCTTTTCTATACTGACATCCTTCCCCACCCCTTCAAAATACACCTTATATAAACACAAAATAGCAAAATCTCACTGGCACTCTCGACACGACACGCAAGAATGGCACAATTACACAGAAGGCAAACACTTTGAGTGAGTAGAAATACTCTGATTGAATATAAAAAATATATTTTGCATTGTATAAATTCACTTTTCCGCATCCTAAATGTATTTGTTAAATGTAAACAATGTTTTTAAATCCCAGGCCCTGAAGATGATCTCAATAAAGATCGAAACGTTGGCACGATAAAGAAAATGTTTTTCTGATACCTACATCACACCAGACCGCATCTCACGATTTCTGAATAATTATCGATTAACGGTCACTAATCACCACACATTTTAAATATATTTGATGATGTGGTATTTTGTCTTTTTTTGTTTTTGCTTTGTGTTTATCGACCGTACACAAAAACAAAAGAAGACTACTTTTAAACCAAGCTAATGGCTTTAAGGAGTCCGTTTTTGTTGTTCTGTTGCTACGTCGTCATTCTATTGAAGTTTTTTTAAATAAAAATTTCTTTATTACATTTCTACCTTTTTCTGAATATATAATTTTTTTAATTTCCAAAATATTCCTTTTTGTAGATGGCCAAGCATGTTAGCCATATGGGAGTATGTAAAGAACTTCGTATTTTAGGCTCCTGGACTTCTTTAACCCTAAAGACATTGACACGAAGCAAAAACCCTGCCTCTTCTCTCATCAAACAGACAAACAAAATTATCCAAGAAACACTTAAACAAAAAGAAATTGTCATATACACCTACAAATCGAATCAAAACAACTCACCAACGCCTCAAAACTATATGGATCCGTAAAAACACATAAACCTGAACACCCTCTAAGTCCCATAATTTCATTTGTAAATTCCCCTACATATAACATGACAAAATACCTAACCAACATACTCAACATCACAGATAACACATATAACGTAAAAGATTCATTTCGTTTCATTAACAAAATTAATAATATTCACATCCTCTCACACTACTCTCTCATATCCCTAGATGTTTCATCATTGTTCACCAACATTCCAATAGTCACAACACTGACATTATTAAAGATAAATGGCCCAACAATACCACACACAAGTCTATCAAAGAACACGTTCATAACAATGGTCCGACACTGCTGTATCAACGGATATTTTCCATACAACAATCAATTTTACAAACAACTATTTGGCATGGGCATGTGTAGCAACCTAGGCCCGATACTTTTTTTTAAATTATTATATTTATTCTACATGCTTCATACAAAATATTACATGTAATACAATAACCATAAATATAAAATATATAAAATGTATGTATATATTGGGATATCAGATTCATATTATGGCGAAAAGACAATTACTGAAACTGTTAAATAATAATAAATAACGTTAATAAGTAGAAACTAATTAAAAACTAAATAAACAAATAACTTAACATTTAACTAAATTACATTAAAATCTATTGCTTTAATGAATGTGTCAAAATGTTCATAATATTCTCTCTTCATGAGCTCCTTCTCATCAGGTGGCCACTTCTTGTCTTGCAGTAGGCACTTTCGTATCCAAACACTACGCAGTGGTTCTATTAGTGGGCACTCATATATTAGGTGTTTAATGCTTTGTTCTACTGGGAAATTAGGCAGGCATGAGCATGATGAAGATTCTCTTAGATGAAAGCGGAAAAAATAGCTGTTGTTTGGGCCGTGTTCGGTTAAGATGTGGGTTAGTGGTGCGGATAGTTGGATGTGCGGCTGGAATCTATCGGCAACTTTGGGAAAGAACTTTCTTGTCTGCCTTCCATTATTTGTACTTGACCAAGCATTTTCCCATTTTTCCAGGCTCTCTTCGAAAAGTTTATTTATAATTGATGACTTTGGAAGTTTGGTGTATGCCAAATTCAAACTCTCGTCAGTAGATGCTAATTTGGCCAGTCTGTCAGCTTCTTCATTTCCCTCTATTCCGCAATGAGCCTTAACCCAGCCTAGTTGTACATTAACATTCTGTTTGACTAGAGTTTGAATAATTTTCCTTATTTGCTCAGGCAAAAAGCCATGATTATTATAATTAATAATTGATTCTAAGGACACTTGACTGTCACTTAAAATGATAAATTTGGCAATATTCCCTTCTGATTTTTTATTCATAGCCCATTGCAAGCTCTTCAGAATGGTCAAAAGTTCGGCTTGATTATTGGAACATGCCTGATGCAGTCTGTATTTTTTTCATAAATTTTTGAACCGGTTTGGAAACAAA